GATGTCCTATGCTTTTTATTCCTCAGTTTGTTAATATGGACTGCCAGGGAATGTCCTACCCTTTTTTCTTTTTTATTTTTCCTTTTTTCTTTTACAGATGATTTCACCTGTTATCCTGCTTCCTCTTCATCATCATTTCACTGATACTCTGTAGCATTTGCCAACACTCTCCTTAAAATTTTGTGCTTTGCTTCTTGTCCTTTCTCCTCCTTTGTTTTATCCTTATTTCTTTTGGTGTCTCCTTTCCTTTCCCACCTCACTGAAACTATTATTTCCACAAAATTTTGTCATTACTCTATTTGCTTCATTAGTTCTCAGAATTGGTCTTAGGACCACTTTTTTTTCAGAATCATATAGGTTGGTTTTAAAAGTTCGGACTCATCAGTCCACTGGAGAACTCCAGAATTAGATTTCTATTTTAAGCATTTGTAAGTATACAATTCAGTGACATTAATTATACTCACAGTGTTTTACAACCAGCACCATTGTCTATTTCCACAATTTTTCATAATTCCAAATAGAAACTCTGTACCTGGGGACTTGCCTGGTGGTCCAGTGGCTGGGACTCTGCAGTCCCAATGCAGGGGGCCTGGGTTCGATCCCTCGTTAGGGAACTAGGTCCCACATGCGGCAACTACAGATTCCACATGCTGCAACGGAGACTCGGCACAGCTAAATAAATTTTTTTTTTAAAAAAAGAAGAAACTCTGTACCTATTAGAAGTAATAACTCCTCATTCCTCTTTCTCCCAGCCTCTGATAATTTCTAACCTACTTTTTCTTTGTACTTACCTATTACAGATATTTCATGTAAGTGGAATCATAAAATAGATGTCCTTTCATGTCTGACTTCAGTTAGCTTGTTTTCAAGATTTATGCGTGTTTAATGTGTATCAGAACTTATTCCTTTTATTGCTGCATAATATTCCATTCTGTGGGTAATATCACATATTATCCACTTGTTTATTGAGAAACATCTTTTGTTTTTAAAACAGCTTCCCCCCCAGTATAACTTTTACAGAAAGTTAGGGGTATACATAAAATATAAAAAAATATTAATATTCAATCATAACTCCATTACTCAGAAATAATTATTATTAGTTGTCTCTTTATTATTATTATTAGTGTCTTTCTTCCCCATCTTTATATGCATATATACTTAACATATCTGAGACTACAGCTAGATGTACAATTTAAAACCCTTCCATTTTTGAATAGTATAAAAATTGTTTCTTGTCAGTAAAAAACTCTTAAGCATCAGTCTAAGTGTCTGTATATATTCCAATATGTGAACATAGCATATTTTAACATTTTTTCTCATTTATTATGCATTATAATGCTTTGATAGTAAAGAATCCCATATTAGACTCATATATACATAAATATTTATCTTCATTTCTGATTTCCTCCAGACAGATTCTTAGAAATGTAGTTACTGACTGAAAGATCATTAGTATTTTTAGAACTCTTCATCCATATTGCCAAATTGATTTTCAGAAAGGGTATGCCATTTTACACTGTCTACAACATAGCTACAGAGAATCCATCTCATCAGATTCTTGCCACTAGAGCATAAGGGAAAATGATCCCAGCGTTATCATATAGTCTAATGATATCTGTTAACTTTCACTCTTATCAATAATAATAGGTTATGCCTCATACTAGCCAGAAATAAGCAGGAGCTTTAAAGGATTCAGTGTGAAAGATGCTGACTTATGGGAATGCAGAGGCCATAATCTTCAAAATCTGACATCCTTTAGCCTTATAAAATCCAGACACTTATGTGCCTTATTCTTAAAATGTTTATTATTTCACCTCCATTGAAATATAACAGGAAGATAATAGAAGATTAATTTTCTGATAAACATTTAAGTACCACTACATGTAAGAAGGAGTAGCAATAAAACTTGATATTAAGACAGCTGTCAATTATGAACTGCAGCTAACTGGCCTAATGGAGACTTGGAGACACACACACAAAAAATCACATAGCAGAATTTAAATTTCCTCTCTGAACTGAGAGGGCAGTTATCAGCAAGAGCTGTGGGGTCAATTATAACTTTGTAAGCTTCTTTATAGCCACAAAAACTTACCCACTGTGTAGTAAAGCATCAGCTTCACTAGCTAGAAGGCTGCTGTGGTTAATGTATGTACCCTATTCAAAGGCTAGCAGTGGCAGGGGTTGCTAAGGTTTTGATAGTGTAATTGGGCCACCCAGCAGTTGCCTGGATTCTGTAGAGCATTTGGGCTCACTCAGAAAGGGTAGAACAGTAGGAAAAGACAGACCTAAAAATAGCCCCGGAGGTTCTGGGAATCTCCATTGGAGGAACTACTGTTGCTATTCCTAAACCTTAACATGACCCCTCATCTAGCATTTGAGGTATTGAGGTCTGATAGCATCCATGATTTCAGAATAAGCTGTATAAGGGGTGTTGATTCATTCAGCAAATTTGAGTGACTGTTATGTGCTGATACTTGAGGGAATGCTGTGTCTCATAAGACTGTGACCTCTAATCTCAAGGAATTCCTCTTCTAGTAAGGTCAAAGATTACAAACACAATTATACTACAAGATAATTTTGTATAGTATCAGTTTTCATGAAGTCAGAAGGTACATAAACCACCTTAAGTTTTCACATAGAAAGAAGCACCTGACCCGTGTCTTGGATAAATGGAAACTTGCAATGTGGAGAAGCAGGAAAATGTTCTTCTAAACAGTGAAAACAGCATATGTAAATACACTATACATGGGAGGACGTAGTAGTTTCTGGTAACTTCAAAGCATGTCAGTATTATTAGAGTGAAAAATAAGAGCAAGGGCATCTGGAGTTCTGAACTGGGGTCAAAAAAAAAAAAAAAGCCTCTTCCTCTATAATTCAAGTAGCATTCTTTACCCCAGCTACCTGTTAAGTGGAAAAAGCACTGTGACATAAAGGGGATACTTGATTGATTGAAAAAGGGACCTGAGATCTGGTATGGTAGCTAGTTTAACAGTCTTTATTTGTCTGTTCCTTGTCCTTATACTATATATAGGTTGTATGATTTAATGTAGACCAAACAGCAGTAAAATCACTGGAGAAAGTAAGGTCTTCATATGAAATGCATACAGTTTGCTTTGTTAATTCAACAAATTCCTTATCCTTCCTTTTGCCTCTAAAAGAGTTGGGAAGTGTCTTGTTCATCTTGCTTGCTCAATAATTAAATCCTTTGATAGTTCTAATAGCCTGTATCTCGGAGCCTTATATAACCATGTTATTTGCTCAGTAGAGGGGAAGGAATGTTAGACTGAAATAAAAGATTCTGGCCTTTGTAACCTCTAGTATTTCATTCTATCTACTCTAAAATTAAATTCTCCACCTGTTTCTGGACCTTTCTATTCATGAAGTTACATCTTTACACAACCTCATTTAAAACAACCATTAATAAATTTCTATTTTACAATCTGACATGGAATAGATGTGGCATATATTATTCATATATCTGCTGTTACTTAACCTGTACTCTGAGATGAATAATTCTCTGACAAGCTTTTATGGTGCCACACAATTGAATTTTTATAGACAAATAGGTGTTTAAGAATGTGAATGACATCATAGAAAAGAAACTAAATATAAAGTTGGGAAACCTAGGTTTAAGTTCTGAGTTTGCACATAATCAGTTATTTGTCCTTGGGTATATTGCTTACTGAACAACAGTATTGCTTAACCAAGAACTCTTATCATTAGTATTTATTTCTTTAACAAGAGATTTGAACTCGGAGACCTCTAAGTTCAACAAATATATGGCCTGACTTTTCTTGAGCAATAGTGATTTTAAATCTCTTATGACTGTAATGTTTGTAAATAAAAAATATCTCATATTCCAATGTTGAGACACTTTTCACCCCTGGTACTGTTATAGAAGTCATTTATTAAGTTAAGTGATGGGTCTTGATTTGGAAAAACATAGTCCTACCATATCTTTATTCTTTTCCCATACTAAAATTGCGTGATTCTGGAACAGATCCAGAAAAGCATCCCATTTCACATCTACTATGCCACTGCTGCCTTCTCACGCCATTCCTCTCTCATACTCTAAGCTACTTTTCCATTGAACTTTTCTACCTACCCAATAATTATCTTCAGAAGTACATAGTTTATTTTTTTCTAAAGTTAACATAAATTAATTTTAACTCATGATTTTTGTTCAGTTGGATTGTATGCTTACTCTGTATAGTATTTGTGGGATTTAGTTACAGTTTTCTAGGGGACTTGCCTTTATTTTCTCTGTGTTCCAGGTCTTGCCTGAAATTTAGAAGCCCCTTTCTTCCCCTTCCTTTCTGGTGCTGTGTGTCAGTGGTGGTGACCACCTCTGAGGAAGAAAAGCCCACTTCCACTGACATGGAGAACACGCAGCATCTCTGCTTGATTGTGACAAGGGCAGTTTTTGGATGGACCATGAAATGCTTCTAAAGTAGCCAAGAATTAACTCTCCTAATCTTTTTGTTTAATAAGCATGTTACCACCAAGGTAACTTACCAGTGAAGTCAACTGCATAGTGTAATCACATTATTTACACATTTAGCTTATATGCAAATATAATACATAGGACTCTACTAAAACACAGCAAGAGTGAGAGAGAAAAGTAACATTTTACATAGTGCACACACATTCAACCTTCCTTTTCAGTGAGTCCCAGGCAATGGATGAGATTAAATCTGAAATGGTTCATATTGAAGAAAGCTATTGAAAGAATATGGAGATGATTTTCAGGGTTTCCTAGTAACCGATAAATGTTCAGATGTCTAGACAACTGAGTGGGAGAACTTCTTGTCATTTACAAGGGTTATTGAAGGTTGTTGAGAAGCTTCACTTAAAAGGATTAGAGGAACTGACAATCTCCTACAAAGAATGACATGAGGAAAACAAGTTGAAACTTTTGTAAATTTACTAGGTATTCAAAAGAGTAAAACCCTGATTGATTAAATTTCTGAGTGTTTTAAAAAATTATGGGTTTTCAGTGGTTATTTTTACGATACATTATTATCTCCTTACCACCTGTTCCATAAGTAAGATGCTAACTATTGTACAGATACAGTAGTATCTGTATGGATTTAGTTTGATAGTGTAAATTGAGTAACGGGTAATTTCATTAAGAAGCCAATTCTTGGCTGATAAGTCCCTTTTTTAAAAAATGTGGGCATGATCTTCCTTCTCATAGTAGAAATCTTTGAATTTAAAATCTAGATTCTAGGGAATTCCCTGGCAGTCCAGCAGCTAGGACATGGCATTTTCACTGTTTTGGACCCAGATTCATTCCCTAGTCATGGAACTAAGATCTTGCAAGCCATGTGGCACAGCCAATAATAATAACAAAATAATAGAATCTAGATTCTATAATAAAGCGATTATTTCTTTACCATCTTAGTAATTTGTGCCATAAACACCATTTTACTTTGTTGCTAGGGTGTTTTTCCACCCAAATTCACTGCTTAGATAATTATTACATCGGGATTGCAAAACCACCTACCAGGTAAAAAACAAGAATTGTTTTTAATTGTTTTTTAAACAGATCTTTTTGAGTTGTACCAAATATGTGAAATACATTTTCTTCTGTGATCATACAGGTGAACATGATTAAAGATGATGGGACAGTTATTCATTTCAACAATCCCAAAGTCCAAGCTTCCCTTTCTGCCAACACCTTTGCAATTACCGGCCATGCAGAAGCCAAACCAATCACAGAAATGCTTCCTGGAATATTAAGTCAGCTTGGTGCTGACAGCTTAACAAGTCTTAGGAAGTTAGCTGAACAGTTCCCTCGGCAAGGTGAGTATTTCAGTTTAGTGCCTTTTTCCCTTCTTATCTTACTTAAAGAACCTAATGATTTAAAGGTATCTATTTCATGCTGAAAGGATTTGCCTGTTCATAAATTTTACTTTTATAATGTTACTTATATGCTTCATAAATTTTTGAGTTTGTTCCTTTAATGATTAATGCAGTGCAGTCTATAGACTCTTCGGATACATTTGGTAGTAATATAGAGAGTTGGGAGGTAATTACCTAAAAGGAAAGTACCAGGATCTGCAGGCTATTTTACAAATAGTTGATTTGGTATTTACTTCTGACTAATAACAAGAAGATAGTGATGTCACAGAACTGTATTTTCATTTAATATTGTTGATTATACTACAAATACAGCAACTGTAAGTTCTGAATGTCCAAGATAGTCCTGGTTTCAAATTTGTCTTGTCATTCAGATCAGAGCCTTTTATTTCAGTGTTCATTCTACAAAGCTTGATACTTTTATGCCAAATGAGATAGAAAAAAATCTTGAATGTTGAATTTTTTATTTGAAGAATATGGAATTTGGAGAAGAAATTTAACTATAATGTTTTTATTTAAACTCACCTAAATTATTCCATTTTGCACGTTGTACCTTCACTACACATTGAGATTGCCAACCATATCTAGTGTATATCTAAAGAAGTAAAACTTCTATTAATTTTTGTATTAAATAGAAAATATGGCATTTAGATTAGACAATATTTAGATTCTCCTTAACAGCTATGTAAGATTTGTTTCTATAAACTATGTAGACAGGCAAAAAAGATAAACATTGTAAGTGTTCCATAAAGGTCTTTGTTCTCAGTGACTAATTTTAAAGTAAACTTTTTGTAGTGCTGGATAGCAAAACCCCAAAACCAGAAGACATTGATGAGGAGGAGGATGATGTTCCAGGTAAGTGACCTTTCTTTAGTTTTAAGACTTTTAGCATCCTGTTTATCTCATTTAATTCATTGTGATGATATTTCAGTTTTTTGTTGATGGTGAGCTTGTGAATTTACCATCTGAGCCACAAGGGAAGCCTATGAGCTTGTGAATTTAAATGGATTCGTAATGATGTGCATTCAGTCTAATGAAAAAACCCTCCCATTTAGAATGTGGAATCAGAAATCATCACACAAAGCTCTGCTGCATTTACTGAGTTAGAATATGCCTTTATTAAATTGGAATCACTGTGATTATAAATTTACGTTATAGCATTTCTGTAGGAATTATGATTGACATATGAAAATGCTGTTCACCTTAGTAGTTTGCTTAGGCAAAAAAGGACTAACATTTCCTTAAGGTTTCTATTTTAAGCAGAAATTGAACCATTATTAGTGAAATGCCCCCAATTCGTTTCCGCCTCTTGTCCTGTGTCTTTTCAGGCTAATTCTGGTAGCAGTATTTGTTGAGCCAGAAGATAGGTTTTGCATTTACTTTTTTTTGTATATTTAACTCATTAACTTTTTTTTTTTTCAGATCTCGTAGAAAATTTTGATGAGGCATCAAAGAATGAAGCTAACTAAGATCTTTTCTGATTTTTGGAAGCTGGCATGGACTAGATTTAACAAATCAGCTATGTGGTTCCAAAGTTTTACAGACACGGAGAACATCAACTGTTACTAGTTCAGTAATATAAATATTTTGTATATTAATAATGCTGTTTATTCAGCATTTTTTGGTCATTTAATTTTGCATTTTGCACTTCCTCCCAGGATCTATTCTTTTGGTCAAAATATGAAGTGTTGGTGCATTTTGAGGGTCTTATGGTTTTTTTGTTTTTTGTTGGGATATTTTAGGTGTATGTATGTGTGTATGTGTGTGTGTGGGTATGTGTGTATACAGTTGAGAGCAAATTGGAAAACAGTTTTATTTATCCTCCTCCTCACCCCAGTAGAAATAAAACAAATCTTTACATTTGTTACTTTTTATTTTTTCTAATGATGCACAGAATTAATAAAAAGTGAGGGTCTTGGATTTCAAATCTGAGAAGATTTTACCCTTGGAGGTTTTGGTTTTAATTTGCTTGGTTAACATATTTCTCATATATTTTTCTGGGCTTAAAATGTCTTGAGATATTTTGCCACCAGCTACAGGCTGGCATGATGGGTAGCATATCTTTGGTGCAGTTGCCTTAGATTCACTTACCTAGTTAGACCCAGAAGAATTTCTTCTACTAGCTTTCCTTCTGAATGCCTTGTTTCCTCTCCTCTCGGTCTCCAAATGGCCTGGTCAGCCTGTAGCAATGCTCTTCCTCATCTTCCATCTAGCTTGAGAAGGATGTTCTCCGTATAGAGTTAAGTGAGTGCCTAATCCCTCTTTGTGTAAGATGGTTTCTTCATCTTTGAGAAACAACAGCTCCGTCTTCAACTTTTTAATTTTTTTGATTTTACAGTTTGGTAGATTTCAAACTGGAATAGCTAGCATGTGCTTGCTAAATAATTTTATGCCAGCCTTATCCTGTGTTCTAGCTGTTCTTAATAGCAGGTGCAAAAATGCCTCTTTTTCAGCAAGGTTGAAGTTGGGAATGTTCTTTCGAATCAGAAAAAATAGGCCATAGACTCATTCCCCAGCACAAACGCTCATTCTGTGAAATGGTACTGGCCCCAGGAGGACTTCTTCAACCGTTTCTCTACTTTTGGCCTTGAACCTACCTCTGGATTGGATCTTACTATTGTAGCTGCTCACAGCATCCTCCTGCATGCTTAGGTAATGCTTTGGGGGAATACTGATAAAACACAGTATTTATTTTTTCACCTCCTTTCAGAGGACTTGGAGGTAAGTTGCATTCATTCACTGAAGCTTCCCTCTTGCTGTCTGATGATAAATGCTTGCGCTTTGTTATATCAGCTTTTGTTAGAGCCAATATTTAAGAATAAGATTTAGAAAATCTGTCATGACCCATCATCAAACTATGGCTTAACCTTGCAGCATATCAAATCTTGTTTCAAGCTAGATATCTTTATTTGATATCTCTAGTGCAAGACCAACAATATATCAAGAGATCTATAGACACGAAGGCAAAGCTCTTGTGTTTTTTTCCATCCAGACACCTCAATTTATTTTATACATTTGTTGCTTTTTCCTGTTATGTTTTATATAATATATGGACTTAACTACAAAATAAAATAACAGTAATAAAATAACAAAAGAGGATAATACTTCCTCTTGTGCTTCTCTTTTTGTTGTCTATAGAATTTCCTCCTTTTGTATTTCCTCTCTGCTCCTCACCCCAAAATGAATTGCAATCTAGTCATTTTTTTATATACTGCTTCCTACATTGTTAGATCAGCAGGTCTACATGGTCTCCATAGTCCAGAACGCTGTTCTTTTGACTTTCCCTAAAGGGTACATTGTGGGGGCAAAGAGAGTTAAAGGGATTTCAAGTGGTTAAGAACACAGAAGAGATGGGTAGTATAGCAAATGGTTGGGGGGTGGGGAGGTCTCATTTGGAATTCAGGAGAATTAGGTCCTAGTCCAAACTGTGGCATTAACCATATGACCTTGGGCAGATTCCCTAACCTAACAACTTTGAAATTCATCAGCAGTCAAATGAGATGTTTCTGAATTAGTATTTCTTATGTTGCTATAGTTCTGTGAATCTCATTTCTGAAAATCCTCAAGTAGGTGTTTTATCATCTTTTCAGAGTTGTCTTTGTATCAATACCCATAGAAGTTTTTTTTATATATATATACTTCCTCTTTTACATTTTGATCACATTTTAACTACTCACCCAGAGGAGCTCTCCTCAGTATTTCCTTTCATCCTGTTGACAACTCTTAATGGCTGGCCTCTCATGTGTAATGAGCCAATATTCTTTTTGTTTTATATTTTCATACCTTCACTTTTCCTGGACAAAGCATACTGAGATCCTGACTCAACCCAAAGAAATGTTCCTGCCTTCAGAGTGAGTAGGTATAGGTAAGAATGTTGATGGAACTTCTGTAAACTGTAGTGTTCTTGGCATAAATATGAATTATATAGTTTTTTTAAAATATATGAAGTAGTTATTCAGCATTTACTTTTTACTAAGTTTATGTGTTTACTGACAAGATAACTATAGAATTTTCTGGGGAAATTCACCTTAAAATTTTGGGATAATTCAAGAAATGTCTGCAGAGAGTTGATTGATAATTTTGGTTTTTGTGGTTAGTCCTTACAGTTTTTATAAAGGTCCTTATTTATCTGTTTTGGGGAAGCCCAAAGTTAACAGTTGGAACCTTATATTTGTTTTACCCTGTTAAGTAATGGCTTAAGAATACATCAAGCATCTTGATTTGTTGTTAAGTAACTAGTGTTTATGGGATTCCATTAAATTAATTTTAATAAGCCTACCAGGTTCTTGTGAAAACCCACATTGGGATGTGTTTGATTTGTTTCTTTGTTTCAACTCAGTGTTTAATCCTAAGTGTGTTTTATATCCACAAATAAAATATTACAATAAAGACCTATCAATAGTATGGGATAGTAGAAGATGTACAGGTTTTTAGATGGAGGTCAGTTCCATTGCCTGCTATGGTATATGTTATCTTTTCAGTAAGACTGCTGTAATGCACAGCTCTAGGGGTGACCATTCATATTTGTTGTGTTCCAGTGGTTGCCATTTTCATAGAGTATAATGTAACTAGTGCCCCTATATTAGTATAATGATGGCCTTGCTCTCTGAGCCTGTCTCCTCCCCTGTAAATGGTCTCTGAGTCAAACAGGGTCCCTTAGAACCCTCTAAATTATTAAGGTGAAGATGAAAGATTATTATAAAGTGTGTTATCTCCCAAGCCATGGCAGAAAGGAGCTTATGGTTCTAGGCACAGCAAGGCCCCATCCTACACTGCCACCCTCCCGTTCAAGCTGTATTTTTGCTCTGCCACACAGAGTTTGCCTAGATTATCATAGCGTCCTTATTGGGCTGGCTTATGAGTCACTTGCTCCAATCCATCCTTTAGAACCTAAATTTCATATCTGAGCATGACAGCCTTACATTTGTGACCATCATACCACTTTGTTTCAAGCTTTCATTGCTTTGCACATGTTTTTAGTGTAGTATAATACTGAGATTGATTCTCTTCATACTTCTCCCATCTAGACTGTCAGCACCTTGATGGCAGATGTTGTGTCATATGTCTTTATTCCCAGTATCTTGCATAGTGACAACATGTAGTCTACTTACAGTCATAATAACCAACACTTATTGAATCCAGAGTTATCTCATTTAACTCTCACACTCTCACTGTCAGTGGGGCAGATGTTATGGTCTAAAGCAGAACAAAAATGGTGTTGAGAAGTACCAATGCAACTAATTGGTGAGAGAACCAGAATTCTAATCTAGAGCTGTCAAATTCCAGGGTTTAAATTCTAAATATCACCCCCCGTCACTCAATGCTTATTGAAATGAAAAGTATGTATATGTGGCCTCTTGATAGAAATCTTCATTAAATATCACTCAATATTAGCCTAGAAGTCAAACCTTAAAGATTACTCAGTAAGTTTGAGAGGTTTTTTTTTTTTTTTTTTAACAGGTAGGATTCATAGTTTTTGTATATATTTAGGAGTTGACTTTTACAAGCTTAATAATTAGATATACTGCATACCTGGGACGGGATCTTTGGTCATGGTATTTGGGCCAGAATTCTTAGGTTGCATATGTTGATTTCCTTGGCACTGGTGTTTCTTCTCAAAGATTTGCCTCCTTTTAGGGATACCTTATCAAAGAAAAGTATAAACTTGAACGAGGTAGTGATGAGTTTATCCTGCAGTTAACACCTTTTTTAAAAATGTGTCTAAGAAATCAAACTAGCCCACCAAAAAACACTAATAAATAAATTCAGGAAAGCTTCAGGATACAAAATCAACACACAAAAATTAGTTGCTTTTCTATACACTGACAATGAACAGTCTAAAAAGTAGATTAGGAAAGTAATTCTGTTCACAACAGGATCAAAAAAGAACATAGTTAGAAATAAACTTTACCAAGAAGGCAAAAGACTTGTACACTGAAAGCTACAAAACATTGCTGAGAAATTAGGACATAAATAAACAAACTGACATACCATGTTAATGGATTGTTGTTCAGTCTCTAAGTCGTGTCCAACTCATTGCAACCTCATGGAATGCAGTATGCCAGGCTTCCCTGTCCTTCACTATCTCCTGGAGTTTGCTCAAACTCATGTCCATTGAGGTAGTGATGCCATCTAACCATCTCATCCTCTGTTACCCCCTTCTCCTGTCCTCAGTCTTTCCCAGCATCAAGATCTTTCTGAATGAGCTGACTCTTCGCATCAGGTGGTCAAAGTATTGGAGCTTCAGCTTCAGTATCAGCCCTTCTAATGAATATTCAGGGTTGATTTCCTTTAGGAGTGACTGGGTTGATCTCCTTGCAGTTCAACAGACTCTAATGGATTCATGGATTGGAAGACATACTATTAAGATGTAAATACTACCCAGAGAGATCTACTGAGTCAGTGCAATCCCTATCAAAACCCCAATGAAGTTTTTTGCAGAAATAGAAAAACTCAGGACTTCCCTGAATGTCCAGTGGCTAGGACTCCATGCTCCTGATGGAGGGTACCTGGGTTCAAACCCTAATCAGGAAACTAGATCCTGCATGCCACAGCTAAAGAACCTGCATGTGGACACGAAGACCTGGTGCAGCCAAATAAATTTTTTAAAATAGAAAAATTAATTCTAACTGTTGGTGGGGATGTAAATTGGTGTGATCCTGTGGAAAACAGTATGGCAGTTCCTTAAAAAAAACTATTCTACCATGTGATCCAGCAACTCCACTCCTGGAATATATTTGAAGGAAAAAAAAAAGAAACTAATTCAAAAAGATACATATACCCCAGTGGTCATAGCAGCACTATTTACAATAGCCAAGACATGGAAGCAACCCAAGTGCCCATCAGCAGATGATTGGGTTAAGAGGATGTGATACAAATACCATGGAATATTAGTCATAAAAAAGAATGAAATGTTGTCATTTGCAGCAACATGGATGGGCCTCAAGAATATGCTTAGTGAAATAAGTCAGAGAAAGACCTGCTATATTACATCACTTATATATGGAATCTTAAAAATAATACAAGTGAATCTATATACAAAATAGAAACAGTCTCATGAACATGGAAGACAAACCTTGCCAGAGGGAGTGGAGGGAGGGTCAAATTAGGAGTATGAGATTAATGGACACAGGACTTCCCTGGTGGCGTAGTGGTAAAGAATACGCCTGCCAATGCAGGAGATGCGGATTCAGTCCCTGGTCCAAGAAGATCCCACAAGCCATAAAGTAGGGTCCAAGAAGATCCCACAGGCCACAGCTACTGAGTTCTAGGGCCTGAAAGCCACAACTGTTGAGCCCTTGTGTTGCAACTATATCTAAAATAGATAAGCAACTATAACTATAAATAACTATAAGCAACTATACCTACAATAGATAATGCAAAAGAATAAAGTTATACCCTTACTTTACACCATAGGTGGCTCAGGCAGTAAAGAGCCTGCCTGCAGTGCAGGAGCCCCAGGTTCAATCCCTGGGTCAGTAAGATCCCCTGGAGAAGGAAATGGCAACCCACCCCAGTATTCTTGCCTGGAAAATCCCATGGACAGAGGAGCCTAGCAGCCTGCAGTCCATGGGGTTGCAAATAGTCAGATATGACTGAGTGACTTCACTTAAACCATAGCCAAAAGTTAACTAAAAAAGCACAGACAAAAAAGTAAAAAGTAAATTGAACTACATCGAAATTAAAAATTTATGTATCAAATTAACTACAAAAGAATGAAAAAGCAGCCCACAGACTGGGAGATAATATTTGAAAATCAAGTATCTGGTATGTACAATACCAACTGAACAAAAAAACAGCCTAATTGAAAAATGAGCAAAAGATTTTAATAGACATTTCTCCAAAGAGACACAAATAGCCAATAAACTGAAAAGATGTTCAATGCCATTATTCATTAGGAAAATGCAAATCAAAGCCACAGTCAGCGTCCACTTCACATCTATCAGGATGATTATTAAACAAATGTTGGCAAGGATGTGGAGAAATTGGAACCCTTGGGCACTGGTGGTGGTAATGTAAAATGGGGCAGCCATTGAGGAAGACAATATAGTGGCCCGTCAAAAAATTACATACCAAATGGTCCAGCAATTCCATTTCTAGGTATGTGCCCCAAATCTGAGATACAGAGACTCAAACATACTTACAGAGCTAAGTTCATAACAGCGTTGTTTACAATAGCCAAAAAAGTAGGAACAACACAAATGTCTCATCAACAGTAGTGATCAACAGAATGTCTATACATACAATAGAATATTATTGAACCTTAAAAAAAGAACCTAATTCTGATATGTGTTTAAAAAAAAGATGAACCTGGAAAACATGTTTAGTGAAATAAAGCAGACACAAAACTACAAATATTATAGATTCCATTTGTGTAAGTTGTCTTAGAATAGTCAAATTTAGGGAGACTGAACAGTGATTACTAACAGTTGGGAGGAGGCAGAAGTGGGATATGTCTGCGCTAAGTCACTTCAGTTGTGTCCAACTCTGTGTGATCCTATGGACTGTAGCCTGCCACGTTCCTCTGTCCATGGGATTCTCCAGGCAAGAATACTGGAGTGGGTTGCTGTGCCCTTTTCCAGGGGATCTTCCCAACTCAAGGATTGAACCCATGTCTCTAACGTCTCCTGCATTGGCAGGCAGGTTCTTTACCACTAGCACCACCTGGGAAACCCCACAGGAAATGGGGAGTTACTGATTAGTGAGTACAGAGTTTTAGCTCAAGATGATGAAAAAGTTCTAGAGATGGATAGTAGTGGTGGTTGCAGTAAATGAATATACTTAATGCCACTGAAAATGTATACTCAAAAGTGATTAAAATGGTAAATTTTACATTGTGTATATCTTACCCCACACACAAAAATCAAGCTGTCAGCATGCCTCTCAGTACTCTTAAGAGGTCAGCCAACAGTAGGTAAGTGTATCCCATCACAAAACTGTTCACCTCAGCATCAAGTTGATCCAGGGCACAGTGTTGAGAGCCCTTGGATATAAGTTTTGAAGGGTCAAGGATGGATAGGAGCCAATCCCTGCCTCCATGGTACTTAATTAAGTTAGAAAAAGAGTGAACAAAAAATAAAAGATCAAGCATCCAACAAATTCAACTGCATCCAACAAATGCTAGTAAATTCTCTTTTCATTTTTATTCTGTTACAAATTTTTTTCTAATTTTCCTTGTTATGGCTTCTTAGATACACCCATCCTTTAAAAGTGGACATTTAATTTCCAAATACATGGGGTTTTTTAAGTATCTTTGATATTAATTTCTCATTTAAATGCTTTCTTCTCTGCAATCACCC